TAAGAAAATTGGCTCCCGGTCATGCACCAGGGAATACATGGAATTTCAACCTTTAAATTGTATATGCATTTGGGGATGGTTTTCTGCATAAACATCAAACGTAACCGTAAGTTGATCTTATTATAGCGGTAACTTTTTATATTTAATTAAAATCATTTTTTAGGCAGTTTAGAATAGAGAAGTGTTAGGTTCTTAGATAATTCGCTTGAGAAATATGAGCTATAGACATCAGCGTACTTTAATCATTAAAATATCGTTGATGAAACAGTGACATCGGAAGTGATATATGAATAATGTAAAACTGTCGATTGGGCTAATCCTGAACATTTTTTGAAGGCTTTTCTTCATTTATAAGAGGGCTGCTTTTTTTTTACTGTTATCATTAGCCGATTAGCTTTAATCGATAGTCCTGATATTCATTTATATTTTCGTGGTTTTGCCGCGTCTATAAATAACTAAAAATGAACCGTATATATACGTGTTTATTATTATTAGCGTATATTAATATTCAAAAATCAAATCGAATTTTAATTATGACGGCAACTGTTTTATCGAGAAAGCCTACACTATATTTCATTATGCGTTCCAACGGACCCTTTTTTATCATTATAAGGAAGCACAGCACTTTTTTTATTGTAAGGCCGTTTGGAGAATGTAAAAAAGACACTCGGATATATAATATAGATTTTCAGTTGAATAAGATGAAAATCTAAACCTCGCAAAAGATGCTGTTTGCACCATGAATCTATCTTGTTCAACTATGTAAGTTCCTTTTAATGGCTATGGGAAGTTGAGCTATCATCTCTCTTGCGACTTCGGCGTTTTCACACTTGCCTTCTTGGAATCCCAATATTTGTTGACTCGCTGCTAGACCCGTTTAAAAAGTAATTTACTCACATACTCATGTATGCATTATTCCTATTTTAACATTAGGAAAACTGCATCATTTTGAAAAACACCTAATAGCTACGATATTTCTCGCATGTTCCAGGTATATTTACCGTCTCTTTTTGTTCATTTCAAATTTTCAGTAATATAATATTGAAAGCTTCGTGCTTTTTATATTCCCATTGGACTGCCAAAAATTGCCCATTAGATTTAACCACCCTCGCACATGTTGGCTCACTCTAAGCTTTAGTCGAAGCTCAAGGAATAAAATTATGGAAGACAGTAGTGAGTGGCGGAAGAGTATTATTTTGACGACGAAATCCAAACGCCTAAGTCGACCACTAAATCGACGTAATGAGAATGGTGCCAGATAATAATAGCCTTTGGCGAAGCTATAGATGTCGCTAGGTTTTACAGCACCTTCTAGCGTAAAGACCTTAACGATCTACAATAAAAAGTGGATTTTATCGTTATTCTGGGATTTCGCGCATGAAAAACTTGGGTGGAGAAGTATATTTAACTTCTGTAGGTAGTCGCTTTTATTAGTCGATCACCGGGTAGCAGTTGAAATATTTTGAATTCAGCCGATGAGTGTGTATGCCCTCTAGGATGGACTGAAGGGAGCGCTTATTTTTATTTTCTTTTTCGTTCTAAATTTCTTATTTTTGGTGCACTAAAAAGAGTTATATAGAGAATAAAGAAAAAATGTATATATTCTCAAGTAGGACCTTAGACATTTTTACCTTTGACCTGCTTCCCATTTCGGCCATCCGTGATAGCCAGTTGAGAAGGTAGGCGTTACGAGTCTAAACCCATTGTGAATTATACGAGGGAGGGCGATGTGGAACGACTTCATAAATTCGCACACCTGGCACGGTGATACCTCTGGTATTTACTGTTACCCTTCATCCCTAATCCAAGAAAGTAATATCCGAAGATTATCCTGTATTGAGAGAGAATGCGCATGTATTAATTTTTTTTCTAATTTGCATATTAACCGTCATTATAAATGTGCTAAAACATCCATGCAATGGTGACGGCGTAACATACTGTACTGAGCCGGCCCACCAGAATCATGCAGCCCGTGCAGATAACGACGCGCAGAGGACAAATATTAAGGCTTCTTAATAGTTAGCCATTTCTATAATTTACTACGTAATATCTTTTTAAATGAAAATCAGTATTCAAGTATACAACAGTGTTTAGCGTTATAGTCCGTTAAAGTCCACTCTTGTGTTGCAGTGATGTGGGTTGATTGGAGTGACATGCATGTGCACCCCTTGCCCAATTGAAGTATGCGCACATTTGTTCGCTTACTGTCTATTAGAATATTGGGCCGTCTAAAAGGTATTCACTTTCGGTAAAAATGGTAAAAAACCTTTTTTTCTTCCAAAGTTAAAGCAAATATTTTTTTTGAAATGGTATTACTAAAATAAATATGGCTTGTTTTGATTGATGATATTCTGCTATTTTCTTTGGCAGCATCCTAACCCCAACACTGCACAATTTCTGGGTGAAAAATTAAGACAAGTGACCTTTGCATCTTTCTATCAAAACTAAATTAACAATGCTAATAAAGTTCTGCAAAGACTGAATATGCGGGCTATACGGCGGATGCATTAAAATTGCTCATTAAGGTTCTCACAATTCTGCCAGGCAGCTGAAGATGTTACGGTGGGAGACGACGCTTCAATGGCTTGTTGTAATCTTGTTAGTTATTGACAACAGTTTATTCAGGCGGCTGCAACACGATGCACGATTCGACACTGACGTGAGCTTTTTTAGCGTCACTCTGGCTTTTGCTACAGATTGAAGGGTACACTTATTTTATTTCCGCATCATTGTCGTATGTAATCAGTTTTTACATCATTGTTGTATGTGATTCACTTTTCCTAATTCGTTATCAATGGCTTTGGAAATGGCCCGATTTTGCTACGTTTCTGTAGGGTTTTGCAGTCAGAAGTACAATTGAGCAAACTTTTTTGCATCAATTTGCATAGCACTTAACGTTAAGTTTTGAATACCAGCTTTCTTCAAGCCCTTTGCGACGTCATGCTCAACTTTAACAATTTCATTAACTCTATCGGCTTTTTCGGCATCTATTACACCAAAATCTCCAGAACCATCTTAGGCCGTTTTATTTTTGGTAACGTTTGTTTCTCTATCGTAATCAAGTTATAGATACAGTAATTTTTAACGGAAATTTTACTCATTCTCCGATTTGAATGAATAATTAGGAATACTGCAAATCTCAGCTTTTCAGTGCATGCATCATGCGACTTAAAAGCTACCTCTCTAAAAAAATGGACAATACTTTTTCTGTTGCCCCAGTATTATATAGTGCTATATGGAGTCTTTGCAAGCGAGTTTTTTGTTGCCTAGTTGTTGATGGATCTATCTCTTGTGGGCTACGTAGGGCGTCTGCACTACTATGAACATTAAGCGTTACCCCAAGTTTATATGCAAAATGTCTCTTTGTCATTATTTCCAACATCTGTATCTGCTGTAGTAAGGCATTTCAGCGTTTCATTGCGGTAGTGCGTGAATGATTTGATATTGGTAGAGCTATGTTATATTGCGTTCGAGAAGTATTCGATTGAGAGAGTGCTGCTATGAATTTTCAAATTTTTATTTTACGGATTGCAATAATCTGTCCCCGTTTTTGAAATTAATACACGATACATGTGCCGCCGGCATACCCGATGAGGCTCTTGTTTGTGTGTTTGTATGTAGGTCGTTTATATATGCCCTCAATGAGGGCATATATAAACGACCAATAACAAACATATATAAACAAGGTTTCCCTGAGGTTCGCTGCAATCGATAAAGCATGTTTTCTAAACATTAGTGTTTACTTTACAGATCTGCTCTTTTTTATCGAGATATGACTTTGTTCTACAGTGCTGCTTTCCGAACCCTTATTTTTCCAACTTAGTTTAAAAGTCACGCTCTCAGCAGTGTCAATTGCAGGTGAAAAATCTGAAAAAACTACTATTAGCACTTCTATATTCTAAAGCTTCCTAAATGTATGATTACGAGCAATGTATCCATCTCTTCCTGATGCCGAGTTGTCTTTCCGATAAAACTGAATTTGTTTCTAAGTACTCCATTAGTTGAATTATTAATGTCTAGCAAGATGGGTCAGCACCGTCATAGACTTTCGCCGTTCCGTATAAAAACCATTGTAGTTACTTTTATTATGCTGTAATATAGGCCGGCAGTAAAAATGAATTTCACAAAGTAGATTATTAATGCATATATGAATGCGTTTTTTAGGTGTTAGGTTATCCGACTCAGGTGCTTTTCTATTTTTAGACTCTTGATATGCTTTTCCAATTGTCTCGAGCAGCAAACCCTGTCGTTACAGTTACTAACCGCGAGCTTGGTATCTAGTTTTATAGTGTGATTCATTTTTAACAAAAATTTATCAGATTTTTCCGACTCCTAAAAAAATCGTTCGCTTTATTTACCTCACTTCGGCTCTAACTGTCATTGTTGAATTATCATAGTAAAATCAGTTTTTTCTCTTTGTATATATCGTTAAAAAGGTAAGATTATTAGCTTCCCAACTAGCTAGTCATTTCCGATAACTGAAACGCAAATTCCAGTTCGGTAGCTGGCCAATATTGCTAGTTTAGACCCTTCACTTGCCGACTATATACGTGGAATCTATAGTCATATGTGAGAATATTTTCAAGGAAATAGATTCATTGAAAATGTCGCTTTCTGCTTAAATCATTTTTTATATTGGCCAAGCTCTTGTTACCAATTCACTTATTAGGTGCTATAAAAAGCTTGCAGGAACCGTATTGGAAGATTGCCTAGTATACTCCAAGTTTTTTTGTGGAAGTAAGTCGATCAAAAATGTTCTACAATAAGGAAGCAGGTATCGTAGAACCTAACACAGAAATGGAGGGTACTTCTGTTACTTATATTGAACGGGTTTGAAACATGAGGCGAGCAGTGGCAGACGTAAACTATGTGGTCTTGCGGTAAAATAAACTAAATATTATTAAAACGTCAAACAGGCCGATATGCGAATACCATTAGGATGCTGGAGATAATTTGCTGCAGCCTAAATTGAAAACCTTTACTTTGACTACCAGGTACTTCAATGCAAAATTTACGCCCCAGTGCTATGGATTGATCTGTCATCAAGAACCATGAGGTACAAGGTGTATGCAACTGCGTTTCCACTGGTTAAAACCCAATTGCGACAAACCCGTTGACCAGATGAGATTAGCATTTCAATTCCTGCGTGCATCAAGACGATTACTCGCCAAGCAAAACAACGAAGCTTTTTTTCAAGCAATGGTGGACTTTTCTTGTGAGCAGTATATTGAAGCTCATGCCGTTTATTTCAAAGCCACGAACATCGCTGTTACATTTCATTGTCATTATGAGTATTATGGGTATTCTATCGGGTACACGATCACGTCCAGCAAGCAGGACTGCTGCCGTGCTAGATGGCACTATTTAACTAGTGGACCCAAAGATTCCCTTGAGGACGGTGTACCTAAACATCACTGCAGGCGACCAGATTTGGCCAGAGAGATAATTTAAGCCACAAGGGAAATGCGGATCACTTCGTTGGTACAAAAGAGAATGGAGACTTTATTACTCGGATATTATTATTATTATTATTATGAGTTATCAGCATGTGCAAGAGAATCTATAAAGTTTAAAAAAGGGTTTACTCGCACGGGTAGACAAGCTTAGGCTTCAGTTTGTAAGCCGATTTAATTACCTCCAACCCTTCAATTCGGTTTTTTAGCGATTACATGGCAGCTTATTCGATCCTAAAATAGCTCCAGTGAGTTTCGATAGTGTCGACCTAATACTGAGAATTACCGAAGTGCCACCCAGGGCCAACAAGAAAGGAAGAGGAAGCGTCTAGGCTGACAGAGTTTATGCTATAACTAGTCTTCTAAGAGAGAAAAAAAATCTGGTTAGGTATGGTAGATCAAACTGTCTCCATGATAGTATAGCGAGACTTCACCTCGTTTCATACCGGGAGGTGTTGCCAAAGGAATATCCAAAAACAGTACCGGATATAAAATTCGACGGAAACAGGAGGCGTATTTAGTGAGTATGGAGCAACTGGCAACAGCTCTGCGACAGCGGAATCAGTTCTCAAAGCTAAAGCCTTGCAGTCTCAACTTCGCCTGAGGCGTTTTCATGGATGTGTACAAATCAGGAACCAAATCTGCTTGAATGTTCTGTTGTTTGCAATAGCAATAAGATACTTGATGAAACAATAACCAGCGTTTAGTAAAAAGGCGCATATGCTACCGTACAGGTTCGGGCATAGCCATCAGAAAAGTACGACTTCGCGTGGAATATGTTTACTTTGCTTGACCAGTCTGCAAAACCCATTTTTGTGTGAGTAGTCAAATTTTGATTGCCGTCGACTTATGATTTTAGTATTATTTACATGTATTTTCAACAAAATATGGAGTCTTTTAGCAGCCAGTGCACCAGCAGCCGTCGAAAGCTACGATTTAAGGAGCGAGAGACTTCGCTACCGCCCGAGCAAGTTACAAAATATACTTACCGGAAAGTTTGCTTGGAGCGGTTGCTAGGTCAAATAAGCGTAACAAATTGCTCATATCCTAAATAAACTAAAAGAAACGTTTGATGGAACAAAACAAGAAAGATACCGTGGTGTGACTGTGTCTAGTTTGTCGTGCCGGTGGTATCTGTCGTGCTTATAATAAGGTGTGGTGTGGAGGGTCGTAATGCAACGGCGGCTGCGCTGTGAAGAATAAGCGATGCTTTAGGGCTCAACGAAACGAACATCCTCTTGATGTCGTCGTTGACTTGGAAAAAAAAGCGAAACAGCAATTCTGAGAGGATCGGATTGGACGTTTGGGCTTGGTAGGGGTATCATTGGGCAGTTTTTGTTAGAGGCTTCATAGTAAACTAGTATTGTTAGTCTGCATTTACTAGGAGTGTTATAACAAGTAGCTCTCGTTAAATTTGCGTGTTAGGTATGTCACAGTGGCGAGAGCTTGTGCGGGTGAGCGCGTGTGCCTCTGACCGAATTTTAGGATCGAACTAAGAAAATGCAATATTCAAGCCTGCGGCTCTCGTCGGACGGGGCGTTGTAATCAATGTTGGACAAGTCACCTAGATGCGTTCCAAGACTTCCGTCCGGAGCTGCCATTAACTTCTGTATTGTGCAGTTGACTCTGGCTTGTGTTTATAGAATTACTAGGCAAGTACATTGCTACTGAACTAACACAAAAGGCGTGCGATGTGCATCGAGGGATAAAAGGTATCACTTTTCGTTTGCTTTTCCATTGATAACTAATTGATCCCTCCGATGGTATAGTGGTAACGTATTTGGCTTTTCAACTCATAGACATCCTTTGATCCTCCAATAATTAAATAAAATAAGAAAAAACTATACATAAGGATTGGTTCTTTTGGTTAATAAGTAACACTTGCAGCAGGTGACCAATCAGAGTGTGATGTCTGTTTGGTAGATCCGTGCAAGTTCTATCTGCTACAATTTCATGAATTTCATTTCTTAAGTTTAATATATATATATATATATATATATATATATATATATATATATATATACTCTTCAACATACGCGTATATATCTGCGATGCCATAAACAATAACTTCTTTCGACTCTTTTTAGCAAAATATTTTCGGAGGTAATGGAATCCCCAGAACCGAGGTCCCCTCCACCTGTATTTGAAACGGAGCAGCAAAGGTCAATAAAAGGAAATGTTAAGCAGGACAGCTTACAGGATAGTGATCGACATACGAAGTCCGCTATTTCAGCGAAAGTACAACGTTTGTTTACGAGCGTAACTGTAACGGCAGGACAGAGGATAACTACCGCAGCAGACCTGCAGCGATGCAACGGGGGTGAGTGAAAAGCTATGAATAAAAATGTTTTTGAAGAGTTTTAGCTGGAGGCCCTTCGTCACCAACCATACTCATCAGACCTGCCCTCACGGATTACTATTCTCAAGACTTTTTAGTAGGAATATTACTTTAATTTAACGTACTCCCATTCCAACGCGTATATTCACGAGCATAAAATAAATCCGGAACATAAAATAATCATGTATAAGGTCATTGTTGGCACCCCTTTAACAATAGGCGACTTGAAATGTCAAACCAAAGGGTCATTGAGGATCAGCTCTTGAGAATGGCGCATATCAAATTTCCCAAGATTTTTTAACTTATATGGTTTCGTTGTTGCACAAGGACATTATTTTGATTATCTTCATCACGCCAAAGCTCTCGTACAATGACACAGATTTAAGCCAGTGAAGTTGAAATTTTAATAATTAGATTATAGTAATCACATTTATACCTCTATAGTAATGTTAAGATAAAATTTGTTATCACTCCGTTTTTAGATAAACTAGCAAAGTTGAAATATCATTGTTTAGCTGGTATAAATTCTCGGAGCTTGCGTACTGACGAAGATAGCTTAAGGTCAGGGGTCACGAATCTGTGATAAACTGGTGATATTTTCGACCTATTTTTTTTTATAGATCTATTATATAACGCAATTTCCAATCATAATCAGAGCAAATTCTTGATCAAATCAGAACAGAATTAGCTTCTCAAAAATAAAAAGTGAGGTAAAGGCTTCTGAGAATTAACTATATATATAAATAGTTTGCTAAGTTATGTAGTAATACTCAACTCATTAAGCTTTTACTGAAAATTCGGAGAGTTCACGCGCCACAACATCTCAAAAAACTCCCATTGTTAAAACCCTTATTGGAAATATGTATAATATCAATAGCTGTTTAAAAATTCACAACACATATTAATGATTTCAGCTTTAGCAACAAACAAACAAACAATGAGAATCACTAACTAATTTGCTATATGAAAACCCCTTTATTTAGGAATAATCTAAGGCTAGTATTGTATTTTCAGCATATTTTATATAATGTAACTGCGTAGAGAGAATATGTATTATGAAGCAATATAAACAAGAGACATATGTTGAATATTAGCGTTAGTGTCCCTGGTGCAGTGACACGAAAGGGTGACTGGTAAACTATCTGACGGCCTTCAACCGTATCGCGAACTTGATTTTCCCTCATTCATACATGTATTTTGGTTATAGCTGAACAAATTGTTTTGTCAACTTATTGGTTCTTCGCCAACATCTACTTTTGTATCTGGAATTTCTATGTGACTAATACTCATATAGTCTTTTCATAAATAATTATTCACAATTTGATTGTCTCTTTCAAAAATACTCACATGAAATTTTCAGCACCAACTAACGGCGAAGACAGTAGCCGCGATTCATGTGGGGGTGACGACGTCACTATGTCAAAGGACCCCTTTTCGCCCGAATGCAAAATCCCTTTACCTGTAGCATTCGCTCCATTCGATTATGGTTGGGTTGAGCCCTCGTTTATTCGCAAACGTAATGAGCGAGAGAGGCAACGTGTTCGTAACGTGAACGATGGCTTTGAAAGACTGCGGTCGCACCTGCCGTTGCTGAATAAGTCCAGAGATAGAAGACTCAGCAAGGTGAGCCGGGTAAGAGTCTAAAACCACACATTTACACCTAACTATTTATGTTAGTCAATCAATTGTACTATGGATCTTATCCTGTAATAATAGCACAAAGTTCGAAGGTTGGGAGACGTGTTCATCTTTATATATATATACACACAGAAAGTTAATCTCACATTTTGAATTCCCCTTGAAGCTTAGTTTAGAAAGCTTAGCCGTTTTTTTATTATTTTGCATATATATATTTTATATATATATTATTTATAGATATATATATATATGCAGAGATTAGATAATATATATAATTAGAGAAACGTTAAAAAAGACACGTTAGGATACTACTCTACAGGTTTAGATCAAGAAGTAGCAATTTAATCGGGAAGGCACGATCAATTTCTGAATCAGTTTATTATCTGAAGATAGTCATTAACGCAAGCACATTTACTCTAGATATATCAATAACCCATAAGCTGTTTTCATGAAAACAGTAGACCTTGTTGTAGAGGTTGTTTTTAATACTGTCATTATATTTTCTGTTTTTTTGGCTTAACTAAGCCAGAATACAAAAACATAAGACTACGTAATCGCGTAGACTTCAGCAGAATAAGCATTTTTTTGAACCTTCGTTGGACATCTTTTTACTCAAATCAGAAATCACTTGAGGCTCAATCCACCCAAAATGCACTTGAGGCTCAATAAATCTAAAAGGTAACGAAATTGCGACACCTGCTCGATGTTGTAACTGAATTCGATTTCTCTCCCGTTGACGCCTTCTGTCGCCTGCCGTTTTTTCAGTTGGCGGTAGAGTTTGAACCTTGTCTCATCTACAGCGATCGTATGCTTCAGGCGGGTGTTCTGTTGATTGAAGTTGTTCAAGTTGTACGTTGAATATATCATTTGCATTTTCGGCTGGTCTAGAATCGATTTACGAAGGACCAACTTTTTAATTCCATTTCTGCATTTTTACTGCAAAGGGTTAAATTTTGTAACACGTTACGTGCGAAACGCCAGCTTCGATCGACAGAGCTTTTGGATACCGAATTCTGCTTTCGTAAAAAGCCTCCTCAATTGGGGTACTATATTGTCCTACGGGACATTCGGTTGTTTCCTCGCTTGTCTTTTACATTCTGTTCTGAAAACGTTTGCGCCGTTCACTTTAAGGCCTTCTTCTCTAATGATCTCACTGATCTCCGATGAATCGCTGCAGCATTGTCGCCTTCGAGGAATAAAAACTTCGCCATCGAGCGTAAATTCCCGAAATTTTCTTTCAAAAAGAGATGTCGATAATTAAAAAACAAATCTCCGAATAGCGAAATTTAATTTGTTAATAAGGCGTCATCCAAAAGTGATTCAGTTGTATTTGGATTTATTTGTAGCAGCCTCATTGATCAGTTTAGTAGGATTGATAGAAAGTCTTGACAAAGTTATCAAAGACCAAAAATGTTCGTTATATGATAAGCAACATAACAAGACCATAAATAACAAGGCTTCTGTAACAATAAGCCATCTCTCTCTGTACTCTGTATGAAAACTCATAAGGAAAACTGGCTTTTAAAAGTCTAAAGGATGATGTCCTTGTAGTAGGTAACAAGAAAAATGAGCTCGGATCATCACATGGGCGACGTTTATTTTCCAAAATATAACAACAGCACGGAAAAAGAGTTTGACATTCGATGGAGTCTACTTTTCTGAACTGTTTATCATTTTTTTTTAAATTTTAAAATTGTTGAACACAGTATTTACGTCAAATTTTGACCCTTAACGTAATATAATGTCAAATAAAGAAATCTATTATCCATCGTGAAAACAAAGCAACCCTTCACATTTGGCAAATACTAAAGGATTTGCTGAGCTTCTGGAATATTAATATTCCAGAAGCTATGAATTTTTAAATAAATCTTTGCTTTTAGTGTTCTGGTTATGTCAATTAACGCCATGGAAAATTTGGATAATTCTGGTGTTATAAAGATTTTAAGGTAAGAAAACTTGCAGAAAGGATTAATATTTACGTAATAACCGTGATCCTTGGTAAAGTAAATGGCACTCACATTTATTGGATACTGACAACCATAAATAGCCGATTGGTGCGGAAAAGTAGTTGAAACGTTTAATAACCAACTCAGTTTCAAAGATTAAAATCACTTGTGTGCCTATGGGAACAGAAGCCGACAGCTTACGCAATGGATACTTTGATCAGCGTTTCTCAAGAAGATCGATTGTTCCCAAGAAGAAAATTGTACGATGTAATGCAAAGGTGCTCGCAATAGGACCGTGAAATTACAGCACTTAGTAATTGTGCAAGATGTGCTTTTACGAAACTGCTTTGAATTTTTTGTGAACGGCCAGTTGTGGCTACTCATTTGTTGATACTTAGGCGCAGGCATGGCTCCCATGTCCGCTGTCTGCCTGTAGAGATTTCATATTTTACGGTTTCAGCGTAGTTTTAAATATCGATCAGTATTCCGAGTAAGCGCGAGGAGCTTGGCAAGACGATTAGAAGTTTTCAACAGTAAAAAAATACAAGCTTTTGATTTTATGCTTGGACATTCGAGACACTTTTAAACCAGAGCGAGGAATTTAGGAAACGATTCAGAAATCTCAAATTATCACAACCCTTTTCTTTTAGAATTTTTTTTAGTTAGCGCTAAAACGAAAACACATCGTGATTTCATTCTATTTTAGTCATTTTGGGAGAGTAAGGATAAAAGTAATAGGCAACATGTATGACCGTCGAACATCGACGAAGGTATCGTAGAAATTAAAAAATATAATTCTTTACACATTGTTTTACAAAATTGGGTCGCTGACATTATTACCACCACTATTATTATTATTACCGGATGCAGAATATTCGCTTATAGTAATGCATGCATGTAACAAGTAAATAGCAATAATCGCCAGCCGGCAAAATTATGTTTGATTGAACAATTTTGAATTTTCATCTTTTCTCGCAGCAACTCGAATCCATTTATTTATAGAATGATGTGGTTCCGCGAATACACATTACAAAATCACGTCAGACCGGGATACCGAGTATCTGTTGGAAACTAGAGGGAAACAGGAAGGAGGTACATTACAGGAAAGGCCGTTCGATCAGAAACTTTAGTTAATGTTCTACAAAGTAGTACGACAAGTATGAAAATAGTGAGAAAATAGCCTAAGCAATTGGCATATTGATATATTGAAGTAGTGGACAAGTTATATACAAATTCAACAGTTATTTACTTTTAGTATTTTTTATAGAAATCTTTCGAAAGATTTAGCTTCCCACGAATAACTTCCACAATACAAGACTGTTCTCAGAGTCGTAGCAAATTGTTCTGACGGAAAGTTTACTGTTAGCTGTAGGTAGGTAGCCTAGCAGTCTTTAAGAACCAATAATCAGTTGTGCGGCCATATTTTCAATTTTGATATTACTCGTTTCTAACTAGACATAATGGCTCCTGATGTTAATGATTGCGTTCTTCATACGAGGTTGCAGGTTTGCAATACACAAAGTTGCATTTTTCCCCTTAGATCAGAGTGCTAGTGAGGAAATTATTATAAGGCTGCTATGTTACAGATTGGTCATAAGACATCATGTGATAGTTACACGGTTGTTCCTTCTGGTTAATAAAACGCAAATAAATTGTTTAACATAATTTAGTATTCTTTTTTAGAGTGAAGCATCACTTCTGATCCTTCTGAAATCCTTTTTCGGCAAAAACCGACTCCAGAAACGATCGGAGCTGAGTGCACCCTGATTTTGAAACAGCCAATTCCCCGTATAAAATGCAACTGGAGAAACTTGTAACTAATCCTATAGTTCAAATATCGTGGCCAATTTCACTCTGATAGGAAGTGCTGGAAACTTGGCTATTGGCTATTGTCTCTTGTAGAAAAGACCTCGTCAAATGGCTCCCTGTTAAGTTTGTTATAGGTAAGAGTTCTACGATACCCTTGCTGTGAAATTGCATATTAAATAATCTGATTATTTTAGTAGAAAAATCGGCCTATACCTGATTGAGTATACTGACCTTCCTAACCTCTGGGAACGTTTCTCAAATATCTAGCATTGTTAAAAATGTGATAAATGTTGCCAAATTAAAAGGCTGCTTTTCATCTCGACAGCTGTCTGGAAGTAAACGTTGTCATTCAAGAACGCTTTTTAGATCCTTGATCTGTAAATAGTCTTTTTTCACTCATAAAATCGCTTCCTTTAGCTCTCTGAACATCGTTTCACGAGGATTTCGAAGCTGAATATAACGCTGTCTTTTCACACTCCATAAAACACATACGAGAGCCTTGTTTTTGTAATTATCTTGTTTGCCCAGCATAACTCATAATATCTACGTTTCAAATAGTAGCAGAGAATTCATATCTCATTCTTAATAACAAATCTCCTTTAACAGATTGGATAACGCGGGTGCAGTTCGGAAACAACGGTTGTTTATCAAGTTTATGGGAACTTACCTACTTCCTTTTCCATGACGTGAAGACGATCTCAAATTACTCACTGAATCACTCCAGACTCCGTTCAAATTGCTGGTGCATTTGAACGGAAATTTCGGGAATGGCTGGCAAGGTCTAAAATTGTATTTCACGACAAGCTTTGGGCCGTTTACACGATAGGTCATTGTCTAGAGAAAACTATCCTACACGAAATCTGGCAAACCTTTATTAAAAAGTCACAACACGTACTGAACTATTAGATTATTCAATACGTTATGCTGTCCGGGTATATTACTTCACATTTAAAAATTAAGCAGCATATAGTGCCTCAAATGACATTTCCGAAACTCCATTTCTCAACACATGTTATTGCCACTAACCATACCACTAACACAGATTTATATGCCTTAGAACACATAGAATGATGATATAGCAAGGAAGTTAAATTTCAAGCCGATAGTCTTTTTAAAGCGAGAGTAGACAGACAAGTGAATAGTGGAAAAGGCGATGCATCTGAGAATTGCTTTGCCTTTGCTATTAGTAAGGTTTTTCTATTAAAGAATCAAGTATGTATCTACAAACCTTTATTTTCTCACATATTACTTAGGATACAACAGCATCATCATGAAGACAATAACTTAGTTGCTTAGTCACTAACTTTATAGCTAGTACATGGAGAAACCAAAACTATTTGCAATCATACATTACGGAAGGGGCATGTAAAGCAAGTATGAGTGTTTCGTTTCGGCGACAAGTTTTGTGCTCTTCATGCAGCGTAAATATGGTTATCATTAGCGCAAACAAATTGTGTTAGTCTTACCGCCCACATTTTTTGCATAGTGCGTAACTTAAATTAATTGGTACAACGGTAAATTTATATGGTTTAAATTTCTTTTTCGTGTAGGTGGAGACGCTGAGGTATGCGATAAGCTACATACAACATCTTCAGGCTATGCTGAAGGACTAAGTAACGATATGGCAATATCATCGGAAATGTTCAAACTGGATTGCATACGTTATGTTAAAACTCTCCGTATATATATATATATATATATATATATATATATATATATATATATATATATATATATACGGAGAGTTTTTTATTATTACAAGACAGATAAAATAAATTAGTTAGCTATTTTTATCGGTCTTACGTAACGAGCAATCTTTCTTTACTAAGTACACTCGACCGACGAAATTGGCAAAATTACCATCTGAGGGGCGCCAAGCGACGCTTCAAGAATCATATTTCGTCTCAAGCTTTGAAAAAATAGTAAGAACTGTTTGATTGTTCTTCAGCTCTCAACGAGTGTTACCGATCCTGAAATATGATCCGAAAAATAAGCGTTGGCCAGAAGCGACGAAAGTAAATTTTTCAGCAACTTTTCTAGGATTTATAATTTATCAAGAAGTGGTAGCCAATTTATGCGTCGTAAATAAAAGGGATTAAACTTTTTCCCTGTTTTACCTAATTTTAAATAATCGGTTGCCAATCAAAATGGTTTTAATAATTTTTGTAAATGGTATGTCCTAATTTGTTTTTACTTAATAACAGCACATATTGAATATATGCTATTATCATGTGTTTTGTTGAATCCAGCGCCTACAATCTCATCATTTATTAAGCTGTTACAAGTCAACTTGACGGACTCTGAAATTGAATAACTTCTGGGCTAATTGCTCTCTGTGTGTTAGGAGCTGCGCTCCTGTATCTTTACACACTTAACTCAGTGGTCTGGCAGCTTATTGATAGGAATATACCTACTATTTACGTTCCCATGTGTAATTTCTCTATTTTTTTGCTTTTTAAAGTGAATCGGTAATAGGTACTCTTGTCTATTAGTTGCCCTTTTTTAGGCACGGTAGTAAAACCCACGGACATAGATCGGAAAAGGTTTTGCGCCATTCATGTGCTATACCCTCGTTCAAAGCCTTTTAGCTTAATATAGTCACCAATTTTCAATGAATTTTGGCAGCGCTGTGGCTTTCGAAACTTTGACTAGTGAGAGTTGATTTTCCAAACTAAATTATATTTTACTGTCAAAAGCCACTTTTTCTGAAGTACATTCAACTATTTTTCACTTACATGTTTCTAGAGCTCTGGAGTATTTATCAGCTAAATTTTTTGGACTATCAGCTAAATTGGGTTGCGGAGGCCTGTTCTTCAAAAGTTTTTTCAATAAAAAAGTTATAACTTGTAACAGCATAAAATTTATTAGTACCTCAGAAAAATGTTATGGTTTAATAAAATATACATACAACTATTTTTCGACTTCAGATGATACTAACGATATATAACTTATCTTATATTAATATATATATTATCTTATATTAAAAATGTTATGTAAAATAGTTTGTCAATTTGCTTGACGTTCGAGTACATGTACAGCACGTTGCTTTCAGTATTTGTGCTGTTACTGCTGCTTGAGCTTTAAAGTAAAATTACTAAAAACATGTCCGTTCTTGAATAATCTTAGTAATACAGGCTTTAACGTATTTTCATCATCGTAATTGAGTATGCTAATCAATTCCGAGAAATAATTTTTTCTTTAGCCGGATACGTACTGGAAGTGTCAACGCATCATTGTATTGAGTATTCTCGCGACGGCATATGGAGTGTGTCTTTCAGGCTAGGAGGCGAAGTGTTTAGGGTATTTTGACCCTGCTGTTATTTGAACGAGGAATTCGGTGATTACTTAAGAGGCCTGTTGCCTGACCGACGTGCTCGCCCGGCTTAAAGGTTCTAGTATTTTTCTTATATAAGAACAAATTTTGGTAGCAAAATTTCTTTCCATCGCGATGGTTTTTGGTCGGTTACAAATGCCCAATACCTTCGAGAATATACCCTTTGTGGTTATCAGCCGTGGTGTTTAGTTCAACAGGCGTTGTGACGCCATCACAGCGCCTTCCAAAAATGGTTTGGTCTCCAATGGCGTCAAACAAGTCTATATATGTATAGAACCTGTTTCAGTGTAAGCCATTCACTGCGTCGCTCAATAAAACAATGCCTCGACGACCCATTGCTCTATTAGACAAAATGTTTTTTACAAGCTGTATATCATTTGAAGGGTTGGCTTTGAAGCTTTTAATTGATATTGAAGTTCCTCGTATGATACATAATCGAAGATTATCAAATAATGTCCGGTCTCATGTAGACGGTGTATACAGTCATTTACATATGCAACTGTCATTCCACATCAAAATAAAGAAGTAAACGGCTAAGCTAGCTCTGTAATTACGAATTTCACGAGAGCTATTGAGCAATTGTGAAACTGAAAGGAAGTCGAACTACATTCCGTACATGCATGTAAAATGACAGCGCTGAATTATTACAAAAAAAATAATCATATAACACTCTTATTAAAATATATAGAAAGTACGAGCCGTCTGACCTTTCTGGTACTGTCTGTAACGTTATCCACTTGCCGTTCCGCTTAACTAGTGTAAAACTATTGCTGCGAAAATGAATTCAAATCCGTATTGGGATACTTTTGTTCACTAAACCTTTACACGACATTTACAACTTAATTAATGATAGAAGTAATTAAAACACGAAGAATATTACTAAAAATGAAAACAAATTCCCTAATGTACTGAATAAGCATATTCCAGGAACAAGTCAAGTGAGATAAAAAGTGCTATTGACGGAAAACCTCGGTAAAGGTTTGAAGGGGAAATGTGAGATCGAAGTGAGTTTCCGACGGAGTTCTGTGATTTTAGCATACTCATAAAGAACAGTAGTGAGTGATTATCTTACTGATTATTTCATTGCCGCTTTCAACCGCGCAGTACTCAGCCAGATTGCCTCTCTAGTATGTGTACATATTCGCTAAAAAATCTGCAGTTATGACTCAGCCGCGCATCAGCATTGCAAGGCTTACGGCGTCCGGATCTATCACTGTAAAAATCCGCACTTCCATAGCGCTAGCACTGCAGTTACTCCTATCAACTCCATTTTTGATTCTCCAGCTCGTATTAACCTCTTCCTAAGAGGCGCTTGGGCAGTGTTTCTCTCGCTGTTCCTAGCGTCGGTTTTAGCTGTTGGTTTTTAAATTTTTTTGGAAAATTTGAATAATTCAGTTTACCTACGACCGGACATCATTAGGGCGCGATCATCGGCCTTTATCATGTGGACCAAGTATGGATTTCAACCCCGAGGGTTAACTTGTTTCCACTACCCAGTAATTGCCTATTCCTACCGCCCTAGATCATCATTTATTAGTATAACAAAACGATACAAGGGAGTGGCAAAACCCATCGGATCAGTGTGCCGAAATCTCCTAACTGATCTAACTGTCTTTCCAAACGAGCTAGTTTCCTGGCGAAGTTGCGTCCCTTGCATTTTCTGTAAAGCCGAGGTACTAGCTATGTCTTAAGCCGGCCCATTTCTAAAAAGCTTGTTGGCCTTCCCTTTCCTATCCGAACTTTACCTCTAATAATTTCTACCGTAAGTGTTTTATATATTTCCCATTATCTTTTATCATCTTTTTTTTCGTCGCTGTTATGAACTGCAAAAGACCCCTTGAGCCCTTTCTGATTGCCCTTCTGACCTTCAATACGAAGAACTACTAGCAGTGTTTAACGCCAAGCAGTACGCTAACGTGTGCATGGGGCCGTCATCTTCGCGTACAGGAGCACACACAGAAGTCAGGAGACGTGCCGTATTTGGTGCGGATGAATTGGAATGTTTCCGTCATAAGCTAGTTTTTATATTAAGCGGCCAAAGATTGAATCATGTGGAACTTCTACTCTTATTTGACAGACGCGGCCTAGACTGTGCGGTTCTTGAGATAGTCTGAAATCATCTGCAGAACATATGGTGAGCTGTCACCCGCGTTAAGTGTCCGCAGTACTATATCCTAGAGAAGACTGTTGAAGACGCTTCTCACATCAAGTAGTATAACTAGGAATATATTTCTAAAGCCGTTCATTTCCTTTAGTCGTTTTTGTTTTCTCTTTATTAACCGCTGTTAAGAACGGTTGGCTGTTTCAAAACCTGTATAAATTGTCGAAAAGATGAATTATCAAAACCTGTATGAAAAGTACGGCATTGTTTTCCACACACTCATAGAGACTTTGTTTTATACTTTTTGCGGACTTTTCTAGCAAGCAAAGGTACCGATACGAGGTTGTTACAAAGACTAAATTGCTTTTTTTTCATTCCTGTGGTAGCTTGCCTTTCTTTACGACTTTTGCGGGAAACTCGGCAATTAACGGTACAAACTCTTTGAAAAGGAGCGTTGTAGCATAAATCTAAATCTATCTAGAACAGGAGCCTACCATTTTGATTCTCCCTGCTGGGAATAAAGGCCCAGTCGCAGCTCTCCTTTCTTTTGTACCTAAAATGCTGTTTTGCTTTTTACCATGTAGTACGGCCAACTCCAAAGGAGTCACCGTCTGTTTCAGCAAGAAGCTTATCACATTGCCGTTTTTGCTTTTGGACATTTCTCTTTTCAGGAAAGTTTTTTTAATTCCACTTAAATGTTTTCTGGTGAAACCTGGGTCCCTTAGATCTTTGTTGTGTAAGGTCATGGCAAGTTCTTAGGCGTTCTTTTGGAGCGAGGTCTGCCCTCCCGTTTCACTAACTCGTAAAGTTGACAGGCACTCTTCTCTCTGGACGTATTTGTCTTGGCTCACAAGTTTACTCCAGCATTTTTTTGCAAGGCTGACCCATTTAAGGCAAAATTTTTATCCATAATTTCACTTTTTATTGTTGTTTAACTTCTTTGCTTTCTTGGTATTTCCTCTTACGGGGCAGGAACGTTGCGGTCTGAAGCAGGATCTCTTTTGAATAAATACCACATTCAATATAATTGTGATAACTGGCCTTTTCTTCCTCTTCTAGCATTTATTGCTCAATTCTTGGAACAACCGCGGGCCACAGATCGTAAAATCGACGTGTGAGACTTCTTGCTTGTTGTGGAACGTTGGTCTTTATCCGTTATTAATCATAATCGGATCGTGTTCGTCCATTCAATCCTCGAGAAGCGATCTTTGACCTTGTTGGCGTGGTAGCT